CGCGGAGCGGCTGGGCCCGTGAGCCATGGCCACTGAGCCTGCGCGTCCGGAGCCTGTGCTCCGCAACGGGAGAGGCCACAACAGTGAGAGGCCCGCGTACCGCAACAACAACAAAAAAGAATTAAGTGACTTAACTATCATAGTACAATGCATTTCATTAGAAGAATGAGAATTTTGCAGAATATGCAAAATAATTCAGAATGCTATAGTTTCGCAAGTTGAAAACACTTTTTAAAACCTGTTCATTTTAAAATTAATTAATGCACACAGATCTCACTGAACTATACTTGCATAGCATCCTAATTAAGCTATGGATTGGCAGGAGACAAATCACATACAGACCAAGTATAATTTTCTGATTTATTTGACCAAGGATACAGAACTAAGCAGAAGTGAGATGACTCTAACGCTGGAAGGCAGGCAGCCTATCTTGTCTCAGTACTTCTCTGGCCCTGGCATTTCCCTTGTGCCTGTAGGGGGAACAGCTGACCTCTCCATGCGGGCAGAGTCTCTCCACAGTTGAATAACCAGACAATTCCAGCTGTACTACTGTCCTTTCAAAGAACTTCTATGCACTTTTGCTCAAGGGAATGTTTAGAAATATTAGTTACTCCTGGTCCTTGAGCAAAACTCAGCATCACAGTCACATTTTCAGTTGAGGGAGAGAAAGAACCAGCAATATCTCTGCCTCTAGCTCTCCAGGACACTGGAAAAGCTCATTTACCTGCCATCTAATAGGTTTTCTAGGTTAATACCATTGTTCCGGGGTGGTTCTGGTACTTACCTTGATCTAAAGTCTGTGATCACAAATCCATTCCCACTTAAGCATTAGTTACAATAAAGTGAATGCTGTGTCTTATTCACTGTGTGGTCTTTTAATGACATACTACAGTGTTGTCTGGTTTTCAGAATGTCACTAGTAAATGTTAATATCAGTGAAATACATGTATACACCTACATCCACAAATAATTATATTATGTGAAACAGTTTTTGAAATAGCATTCTAAAAAAGTATGTATGTATGTATATCATTATACATACTTCATATCATTATATGTATATATATATATGTATTTGTTTTAATAGCAGATCTATTCCTACAGCTTGCATATGAATGAATTCAGTTACCCTAAGGTCTAAATTTTTATTAATTAATTTCAATTAGTTAATCATTGATGATTCTGCTGTTACGTATAAATAAGTAACATTAGTAATGTGTATAACTAGCAATGCATTTGCAGATCATCAAGTGGCCTTCTCTTCAATAAAATTTCAAATGACACAGAATTTAATAAACCAAAAAGACATCACATACTCCAGTTCATATTAGAAGGCCTCAGAGTACTCAGTAGTTGTGGATCTTAATAAATTATGAGGTTTTATTTTAAGCAATTATAATAATTCTACTTTTGAATTTTGACGTTTACCTTTAAACATAAATAAGAGAAGATGAAACTCTACAAACATAGGAGATATTTTAAAGAAACTAGCAAGAGACTAATGGGAGGGACTCTATCTTACTCATATCTATACTTCTTGCACCTGGCACAATGCCTGTCACGAGGAAAATGTTCTCACTTCATTCTTGCTAGATTAATCAATAAACTCATAATATTTTAATTCTGTTATTTACTGTTATGAAAGATGGAAATCTGGATAGAAGCCTAAGAATATGTTAAAGAAAATGACTGATCCTGCCCATGTCTTTTATAAAAAAGCAATTATTTACTTTCATTTTTTAGGCAGGAATGTTTTTTAGATTGGGGATCTGATGAGATAAGAGAGAGCAGAAAGTTATGCAATGCAGATAAGAGGCATTTCCTGGCCTACCAACACACATATAAACTTGGAGACCATTGTGATTTTTCAGTGAAGTATAAAAGGAGAGAAAGACAAATTTCTTTATAAATTCCATATCTAGATTAAGTTTCCATTAAATAATTTTATTTAATTTTATGCAGTAATCCATTTTGAGTCCTAATCTGTATTAAACATCAAATGCATACTGACCGATTCTTAATATTTGATAACCAAAACAATCCCCAAATCATTTTTATCCAAAAAGAAAATTTATAATTTCTTCTGGGATAATGCCCAGAATACTCTTAGATTTCCATTCAGGAAGTTTTAAATCAAATTAAACAGCAAAGAATTATAAAAAGATATGAGGCAACGGGAATAATGCAAAACGAAACTGAATTCAAAATTTAAATTAGTAGAAAAGATGCTTCTTTTATTTGAGAACAATGATAAAAAGTGCCAGAAATTCTATCATTTGTGGGGACATGAGGGAGTTTTTTAAATAAGTGAGGAGTAAATGACTAGAAGAAAAAGTCATGGCTGCTTCCGCTAAAATTTGTTATGCCAGTATTTTAAGTTTTAGGTTGGCTTGTTAGTCTATACACCATGCTCGTGTCCATACTATTAACACTATGTCTCAAGTACCTACTATTGGCAAGGATAAATGAAAGAATATACAACTTTTTTACTCAATGTGTCAGAAAATAAATATAGAGAAAACTAAATTTAAAAAATTACTTCAATAGAAAATGCCTAACAGTAAGCTCTGTGTGTTGCCTGAAACACTTCTAGATACAGAAAACCATATTCTCAAATGTACAATATTACACTACTCTGAAGATGCACTCTAAGGGATTTTAAAATTTCATTTAAAATATTTTCAGGTGTATTTATTTCAAATTCAGAATTGAGACATCATACGTCATTTATATTTGGTATCTTAATGGCACTAACTTGTCCACTGAAAAATGCCTTTCCTTCTTAGACCATTACTGCATCTTGAATAAATCCTTTCTTTGGTATGAAGGCTTTTCAGTTTTCTATTTAATGCCATTTATGCAATGCAAATGAGTTTTTCTCTGCTGCATCTGCTGCAGTTTTTCCAGCATCATGTTTACTTTGTATAACAAGATTGACTATCTTAAATAATCTTCGAAAAAGTGCCAGTATTGAAGTGATAGTTTCCGTGAAAAGAAAAAAGCGTTTATTGTTAAACAAAGGAGAGATTCTCAAAGAAAACAGAGAGCTGACACCTTTCGTAAGATTGAACAGAACAAACAAGATTGAACTTCTCATTCCACAAAATTACGGCCATCAATAAAATTAGAGGGTTTTGCATTCATATTAGCCACAATTCTTCTCTTTTCTTTCACTTGATACAGTCTGTGGGGAGAAGGCATATTATTCAGTCATACATATTTGTATCAGGTGAGAGAACTGCATTTCTATGCAAGAGAATGAAAAGGCAAAACTGCCCAGAATGGACAAAGATGAAGGTGCCAGAAAGGGCAAAGGTTTCTGAAAAGGTCAGGCTATGGAACACACTCACAAAAGAGAGAAGCTGCTTAGCTGTGTCCATGAATTTATCCTGAACCTGCCCTGAATGCCTTGTGGGCCTAGGGAGATGATTTGACCTTCCCTCTTTTCAATTATTCTGGGAGAGCTAATGCTTCTGCTTGACATATAAGATACAACCTCAGTGACCTAAAGAACAGCCAAACGCACAGAGGCTTTTCTGAAATATTTTATGTACACAGAAAGTGCCCACATGTAGCAATCGAGTTACATCATCTTCTTCAAATTTATTTTAGAAAGAAACTTTCCTTCCATTATTAGAGAGTAGAAAGGTAATTAGAGATCCAGCTTTTTTTTTTACCTATTCTCCATTGCCATTTGCAACAGGTTGATCACTACTTTAACAAATAGAATCTATCCTTAACATTTCATTCTTAGTTGAAAAAAAAGCCGTTTATTTAGCATTTTTAATGGGTTAGCACTTGAAAAAGAAGGTAAATGACATAGTCCTGACCTTCAAGGAGCTCCCAGTCTACTTTTTCACATTGATAAAAACGCAGGGTGTTCTTTATTAGCAGTAAAGCAAATGACAATTAAACACAATGATTAAGATATGATATTTGAGAGTACAATAAGGCTAGCCAATTGATTACTTGAGGGAAATCAGTATGTTTTTTATTTCTGCATCTTATTGGGAAAGTATTAAGCATCCCATCATATGAGAAGAAAGTATACAATTAAGTTGTGCTGCTGCCTATCCCTGATTTTATTGACCCAAAACATGTACCTTCATCCCCATACTTACAGCTGCCAAATTTCAGAGGACATGAGTGGGCATCCATTGGAAAATCCTCCAAGTGCATTGGACACTCAGCTTGAACTGTAAGCCTAAAAGTCAAAATTCCACTCTTTGTTTACGTAAATTTGCAAGTCAAGATAAATCACTGCTTATTGTGGTCAACAGAATTAATGATGAGGTAGGACCCTCATTAGGGCATCTGATTAGGCTAATTCACATTTATATATGCTTTTGTTCTTTCACATTTAGGTGATCCTTCAGAAGACATTTGCACCTACAAAATCTGAGCTAAAGTAACAATATGTATTTAAAAATATACTTTAAGCATTTTGTACTATATGGTTAGTTAAGAAGAAGTTATGTACACATTTTTGAAGGTTATTTTCCCATTAACTTCAGTATTAACATTTGAAATCTTGAAGAAAAAAATGAAAAACAAACCTCTGTCATAAAAAGAATGCTATTTTCTCCCAACATTCCATCAATAACCATATAGCAAAATTGATATAGGAATTCAATAATGCCTCAGAGAAGCACCCTTCAAAATTATGTAAATTGTAAATGAATATCATATACTGTATATAGATACATATATATAAATATAAATATAGACATAGTTACATATATAGATATATCTCCTAGAAATACCTTGTTGAGACTGGACTATTCAAATTACAGACACAGGTTATGAATGTTAAAGAAATAGTTTTTTTGTATATACGTAATCACATTAAAGAGTAATCATAGCAAATTTGTTTTAAAGAAAATTATCAACTATTCCATTTCAGACAAAGGTAAATTATATAGAATAGGGACTAAAGTGAACTTACAGAAGAATCTCTGACAATGAGCAAAACAAATGTAACCAACAATTTAATTATAGCTTATATACTTCCAAGAGAGTATTTAAGTAGAACCCTACACAATATTTTTCCAAACCCCAAATTTCCAATCATTGTCTTAATTCACAGGACTAATTAGCGTGTAAAATCAAGGGGGATACAGCATCTATATTGCAAGATTCAGAGAGAGAAGCAGAAAGAATAGCTAACTTCCATTTTAGGCAATGGTCATTTAGCAATGAGAACTTAAAGAGTTTTTTTCTTTAAAGATCAAGACTGTATTATTGTCCCTTCTTAAATAACTTTCACAATTGAAATCCAACACTTAACATTTCATATGAAATAATACATCAAATGCTTCGAATACACATCTGTCTATATACAATGCTGATGAAAGTTATCTATGTTTTAAAGTCTTTATCAAACATTTACCTTTTAGATTATACACCATTTTATTAGATTTGTGATTGTTTTCTTTGTTATGTAATATAAGTAACTTATTTTAAAAAGATTAATTCATGAGAAGAGTTCAAATGGAACAGTGATTAGAGTCAACAACTGTATATTTCTTTCGATAATTTTTTAAGATTGAATCATCTGAACTTGATGTCACATGACATCTCTGAGGTTATAAAAGTATTTTTCTCCCTTCATAAGAAGGATTAAAATATTAAATTAAGTGAAACTTGCTTAAAAATCACTTAAAAATTTGATGGGATATTTCATGAGATATTAAAAATAAAATTATGTGCTTGTATAAAGAAAAATTTAAATCATACTATTAAAGTTGTATGTAACTAAAATATAGTATGAAAAGTAAACTGCCAAAAAAAATCAATTCTTAACAGCTAAGGCAATTTTTAAGCCTTAACACACTAAGATGAGTGTCAAACTCATAACCTTTATTTTTTAAATATCAAAGCATTTATAAAGCATATTCTGGTTACCTCAATAATCTGTTATGAAAATGTTGAACTTACTAATACTTGACAGCTAAGTTGGCTGTTTGGTTAATACACAGATTCCTCAGAATTTAATGGCAACATATCAAACCTGAACACATACCTCATTGTGTATAGCAGAGTCCCATCATCCTGGATTCGAAGAAGCTTGTTTGGCATTGTCATATTATGTGCTACTGATTTTTTCCCGTTGTGGAAGAAGGTATCTGGCGTCCAGATTTTGCTGGCCATTAAATTGTTAAGTCGAAGGATGTTCATAGGACCTTTAAATTTTAACCGTTCATCTTTCCATTTTTGTCGAAAGAAAACATCTATTGTATATTCCTGAAATATAAAATAGAATTATTTTGAAAATAATAAATGTTTTAGATACAAAGACACTATAAAATTTCAACAAAAATAATAACATAAATAGTTTAAAAAGAGAGAAAGCTATTTTGAGAAGTGAATTTTGAAAGATCATTCCTTTATCTTATCAATAAATGTTGCCACTTACAATGGGATAAAGCATGTGTATTTGCACAATTAGCTACATATTATTATGAAAAGAAAATAATAAATTTACTTTCTCTGGTGTCTTTCAGTTGAACAAGGTCTTAGGCAAACTGCTTTTCTACATTGTATAGTTTAGAACCACTCGTAAAGGGGGCATGCTTTGGCCGAGTCTGGGTGGATTGTCCCAAATCATTCATCTCAAGAATGAGTAAGAAGGCAAGCAGGCAGTCTGATTCTCAGTAGAAAAAAAAGAAGACAGGAAAAGAAACAACTATTAAATACACACACTGTGGGATCTATATGACATCTCCTGTTGCCAAAGAAACTATAAAAAAAAATCTTATTGCTTTCTTAATCCTAAAAAAATGGTGAGATGTCATACTGTTAACAAGAATGTATTGGGGAAGATGATTTCAATAAAGTTTATTTAATGAAATTGTAATAAAATACTTTGAAAAGGTATTAGAATACTTAAAATATGAATATTTTGCCAACAAACACCCTCAGGTTAAAATGTACTTTTAAATATTCATACAGACCAGCTAGTGATCAATTCCCCTATTATCATCCTCCAATACGTTAAAAGTTGTTTTATTCAATCTCTCTGTCTCTCACCCTCTCTCTCTCTTTTCTCGTTCCCCACCTCCCCTCTTTTTTCATTTTCTCTCTGTTTTTCTTAGGATAAGAGGATGTATACATTTTAGATGAGATGTACAATTCACAATTATGATCGATACTGACAATTTTTCGATATTAAAAATTTTGGTCAGTGTATGTTTGTGCAGACACTTCCATGATAAATAACTAAAATGTTCATTTATGCACCTGAGATTGGAAATTCAGAAACTGTCCTTTGTGCATAAAGCCATAACCATCACATGTTTGAAAATAAACAACTTAGCAACTGGCAATTTCACTCAACTAAAATTATGTGTTTAAAAAAGGACATTAAAAAGGCCACATACTTATGACAATAACAAATCATTTATACCAACCTTACTCAAGTAAATGAAAGTAAATGATTCCCAGCGATCCCTCAAAAGTTGAATGGATGAAGATAACAAGAAATGGCCACAGGTAATGACATATGGACAGGAAGTAAAGAGTGGCTCTGGGCTCCTAACCCTTAGAAGAAAATATCGTCATCTAATCCACCCTCACTCTCTGTGGTTTAGTCATTGTTTTTAAGTTCAATTCTATATAAGTGTAACTCAATTTTTAAAAAGAAGCTGGATTAAGAGATGAGTTTTTGCTATCTGACAAATTTTTATGCAAATGTTTCTTCCAACTGTGGTTCTCCCAAATCCAAGCCTGATGTGAACACATTGGACATTTGCTTGTTCAGGCACACTGAATATATTTTACAACTTTCTGTAAAACTTCAAATTCAATTTTTCCATTTCTATAAAATTATGAGATGTTTTATCTGTTTTCAGAAGCTCTTGCTATAGCAGCAAATATTTCCTACAGATCCATCACATAGGGAATACTCAAGGTTTCCAAACAGTAAATTACAGGTGAGCTCTTTTTAAAAAGTATTTTTAAGAATACTGTTTTTGAACCTTCGCAGTGTCCCAGGTATGCTCTGCCAACCTCTGCAGAGTGACCTATGCCTTTTTCTTCCCCTCTCCGCAACCAGGTACATTCATGTTATGCTCTGGGCAATTTTAGCAATCCGCATCCTCGCTATTCATCAGATAAAACAAGTTCCCTACTTGTCTGGGCCAAGAACTGTACTCACAGCCATGCTCCCAGTCCCTTGAACATCTGGAAGAAACAGTCAGCTGTCTGTATCTTTACTACTCATAATACAGCTTTCTATTACTAAAGATCGTATACTGCAATTATACCTTTGTTCCTCTGCCTTCTGCTAGATCTTCTAGCAGATCTTCATAAAAGGCACTATGGCTTTCATTGTGCATTATTTTACTTTGTCTTCAGAGACATAAGAGAGTGTAAAGAATACTACAAACACTTTGTAACCATCACCAGCAAGAATCACAAATATTATTGAAGCATTCTCTCTCCTGTGTATCCCTCCTCTATCACATTCCCCTACTCTATGAGGAAATACTCATCTTGAATTTGGTTTTTATCATTCCCATACATGGGCTTATGTATTTACTATATAAATGTATGTGTTCTGTGTCACATTTTTAACATTTCTATAAATGAGATCATACTGTGTATACTTTTCTGACAGATTTTTTTTAGTTACATTGTTGAGATTTATTCATAGCAATGTATCTAGTACTTTGGTTCATTTTCATTGCTACCTAGCATTACCTTGTAAGAACGTTTTACAGTATTCCTCCTTTTTCCATGTTCTTTAATATTTTTTCTATTTCCTTTGTCACTATTGTAAGCAATACTGTTATGAACATTATCAAACAATGCTTTAAGGTGTAAGAGTTACTTTAGACCAGAGGTCGGCAAACTTTTTCCATCAGGGGCCAGTTAGTAAGTGTTCTAGGCTTTGCTGGCCATACGGTCGGTATCACAACTACTCAGCTCTGCTATTGTAGTCTGACACAGATAACACTTCAATGAGTCAGAGTGTCTATACTGCAATAAATCTGTGTTTACAAGGAAAGGCGGTCAACAGGATTTTGCCCGTGGATCATGGTATATCCATCACTGTTCTAGAGTAAATGGAAAAGTGGGGATACAACATTTATTATATGTGCAATCAATAACAAGATATTGTCAAAATGAAATTGTAAGAGGTGTATACATTGTAATAAATAACAAGATACTGTCAAATCTTCAAAAATAACAAGATATTGTCAAGTTGAAATCCTAAGAGATGTATACATTTATATCCCCACTAGGTTCTCTACAACTTGGTATAGACAGAATATTTCATTTTAACCATTATGGTTGGTGTGAAATGGTTCACAGTGCTGCCATTTGGCTTTTTCTATTAACTAGTAAAATTTAACACATTTTCATATGTTTATTAAATGCTCTACTTTTTTATGGATTGTTTGCTCACGTCATTTACTCAGTTTCCTTTTAGGTTGTCCTTTTCTTATTGAGTTATAGAAATTCTTCATATTTTCTATATACAAATATTTTAGAAAAATACAGAACTCACTAAGAATTATAATAAAGATCATAAAGGTATACAAAAGACCATAAATATACCCCTGTATGTTTCTCTTAAACATGTCAAAGTTCTGCTTTTAACATTTAGGTCCTGGAATTACTGTGTATCATATGGGACACAGATCCAAATTTTTCTTTCAAATGGAAAACAACTTTCTGGTACCATTTATTGACTGGCCTATCTTTCCCCACAGCTCAGCAATGGCATTTCTTTCACGTATCTAGTGCTTATATAGGCAAGGATCTCTTTCTGTTTATATTTCAGTCGAAGACATTTTATACTTCCTATTACGGCTTTTTTCTTCTTTATGTGGGAGATATTGTGAAGTATGTTTTTATGATTCCAAATATATCGGTTTCTTTTACTTATATTTTTGTCATTTATGTTTAATTTTACTGCTTTATGATAAGAGATTATGCTCTGAAGATAGCAATAATTTTCAATGTACTTAAAATAGCTTAAGAAAAATTTTTGTTGAACCTGACCATTTCCATCTTTTAATGGTAAGACAATTCAGTCCATTTGCATTTAATGTGATTACTAATATATTGGATATGTCCCCAGGCTATTGTTTTTAGCAGTGACAAAATGATGAGGATAGATGGGATAACTTATTTGGATGTTTCATGATTAACTGATTAAAATAAATAAGAACTCTAGAAAATTATGGAAGAGGAATCATAAAAGAACACAGATACATGCACACATACACAATGAGTAGAGGGAGAGAAAAGTATCAAACTAAGAGAAAAGAAATTTTAAAAAGTATATAGAGATTAACAGTGTCAGATAGTGGTGAAAGATCTTGAACGCTTAGTAGAAAAAAAGAGTTCAGAAACCAAAATGCAATGGGTTGAGGAGTGAACAGAGCATACAAGTGGGAAAAAGTAAAGTATAATGTACTCTTTGCCACTCCTGATTTTGTAAAATCCATTAAGGGAAATCAGAGTTTAACCAGTAAAATCTAGAGGCTAACTTATACCATTTAGCTATTGCCGTGTTAAAAGACACCTAAAATGCAGTAGTTTAAAATAGCAACCATTTATTATTAGCTCATAAGACTGAAGGTCAGCTGATCTCACCTGGGCTCAGTTGATCTCAGCTGTTCTTGCTCATGCATCTGTGGGTTAGGCGGCCATTGGCTGATCTGAGCTGTTATTGTGTAGAGACACTGGGGCAACTCAGCTCTGCTCCAAGTGTCTCTCATCCTACTCCAGGGACCACTGGTCTACCCTGCACTTACATTTCTCATGATGATGGCAGAAGTACAAAAGAACAACCCCCAGTGCACAAGCCCATTTCAAGCCATTGCTTGTGTGATGTCTGTTAACAACCCATTGGCCAGAGAAAGTCACATAACTGAGTTGAGTGACAAATACTTTAGCAGGTCACCTCACTCTCAATGGGAGGGCATTATGAAGTTAATGAAAAAACATGTTGATATTGAAAGAGGTGAAGAATGGGTGCCATCATTGCAGCCTATCACACTAGCCCTCTGTGAGAGAAAAATAAAAGATTTTTGTGAATGAAATGAGATGTTTGAGAACATCTGAAGCTTCATCATGTGACTCCAATGAAAGTTACATGGGTCTAATATCGGGGGGCAGGTTGGTTATAAGTTAGTAAGTATAACTGCAATCAACTGTATTGTACCTCAATTAAGTGTGGGCCCGTGAGCAGAAGCAAGATTATCAGCTTAGAGCAGTAGCTTACAAAGTGG